TCGAATCTCTTCACCCAACACTTTCACTCGAAATGGAAGTAAGCTCAACATGTCTGAAATCTGGCTGCCTAAGAGCCTTCCATTCCCGTCCCCGATTACGCCACATTCGACGATTTAGAGCAGATTATGCCCATATCCATGTCCATGTTTGTGAGCATCGAACCCATTACTCTATTATCCTCTCCCCTCATCCTCGCCCACAATGTGCCCCATTCTTAAGTCACAACCGCTGATGTGATAATGCACCACTTTCCTTTTTTTCCTTTAAATCCGATAGCTTTTTAATCGCTTTTTAATGCGCTCAACACAGCCAAGAAGAAATCGAAAATCTTCGTGAACCATTCTAGTTTGCCTTAGACTGTAAAAAGTTGCAGTTCAACCTGTCGAAGGTAGGACAACCCCATGAACTGTGCTGGGCATACTGCCCGTGGAGGCGTCGGACGCAACTGGCGCCTCCTTGTACAAGTGCAGAAATTTCACCTTCGTGAGGGAAACAGGTCAACTAACTCAAACGAGGCCTGGTTGACAAGCTAAAAGATGAGGTTCATGCACGACTTGAGAAAATAAATTTTAAAAAAACAATTAAAGAAAATTACTTTTTTTAAAGTTACACTATCACAATAGGAATAGTATGTGCTTTTAATAAAGCTTGCAATTTACTACAGCGTTTCGGGAATAGTATATTTAGAAAATAATGCAGGCTTGATACGTCATTTCGCCGATTTGCGTTTTTGCTAATTCTGGATTCTCCAGAACGGCGAAATAACATGGCCTTTTCGGGTCGAAATGGTAGTTATTTATATTCTTTAGTCAGATTCACTGAAACAAACATACAAATACACATACGAACAAGCATGATGAGGATTCAATATGAAACAAGAGAGAGAGAGAGAGAGAGGTAGAGAAGGCATATGTTTGTGTTTTAAATTTTTAGCAAGAGTAGCTACTTATTTTTCGTTTTTCCGTTGGTCTTCAAGAGTAAAGTAGCTACTTATTTGACGCTATATTCGCCTCTTAATTGATGCTATTTTGAGACTGGAGCCTTTTAAAAGAATGCCAAAGTTGTGGAGTATGGCAAGATTGCGGTTGCAACTTGGCAGAGTAACAAGAAAGTGTCCAAGCAAAGAAACCGGTAGTGAAAGTTGCTCAATCTAATTGAAGGTCAGGCAAGAAGAGATGTTGCGTACTCTGTGAACATTTTTATATCTATGCTGTGGAGAATAGATAACTGTTTCATGCATAAAATTCGTGAATATCCATCAGATATAGACCATCATAGAAACATAGGCGCGAGGCAGATTAACGGAATAACTTCAGATAAAGGCATATAAGTATACCAATCCGAATGTGGACAGTCAGTTGTACGAATAAAAATACTTTTTCTACTTCCAAGGACAATCTGAACGTAGTCAGATGAAAAAGTGGGCTATTCAGGCGACTGGATAAACAGACATGCAGACAAATAGGAAAGCAAGCGGTGGTGAAAAAGAAAAAGTATATACAAAAATGTGATATACTCGAGAAGTACAGAATTGTCGAGGTATGGCCAAGAGTACTGCAAGAAAGAGAGGCAAATAAATAGCAAAATCGCTGTATAAGATTAAATACAACCGAGCAATACATTCGAGAGAGATATCAAGAATAGGTGATACATTTCAAGTAAATCCAAACTTAAGGATAAAAACACAGAAATGCAAGCGTTGCATGTAACCGCCCATCAGTCTGCAGAACATCAACTAGTGGAACATACACAAAAACAGATGGACTGACTGCCACACATGCATACACATGCATACATACACAGACGTCCACACAAAAAGACGAATAGACGCACATACTTCAGAGAAGTCGTAGGGACGTGTACACAGGGACGAATGGAGGCAGAGTTGGGCAAGAGGAGGCAGGTGTGGAGACATGCAAAAGACGAGAGTCAGAGAACGAGGAGGAGAGACATGTCATGAGTACTGGTTCGAGAGCGAGCGATTGGAAGAGAGGAGAGGAGGGGGGATAAGATAGACAACAGTATAGATGGGCAGATAGCAAAGTGGAAATTGAGAGAGTGGAACAAGCGGATAGACAAAGTGCCTTACGAGCCAGGAAAAGAGTGAGATGAGCCAAAGAATGGGAGGACAGAAATGGACAAGGCCACTGGCAGAACTGATTGACTGTCAAAACGAGATGAAGAAACCGAGACAGGCGAAAAGAAAAGAGTGACATCTCGTGTAGATTTTGAGTCGAGAATAGTCTCGAAATTGGGCAGTTCGAACGGTGGAGACGGAATAAGAAGGCTGGAAACAGACTGGAAGAGAAAACGAAATAATATGCAGGCCAAGAGAAGCTGCTGGCTGTCCGGTCTCGAGCTTGCGGATGTCAATGACCGCCGATTCTGAGAGCCGAAAAGTCATGTTCTCCCGGTGGGGCACACTTGATATGGGCCAATTGGAGCGAAGCAACGCTTGACAACCACCAGCAATCGGTGAATTGATGGGCTCCTGTGAAGCAGTGGAGGCAAGATTGTGGGTCGGATCAGGGAGCGGTGAGATCTAATGAGGAAGGGCTCAAGAAAACGTGAAAAGATTAGGCAACCGGTAGAGAGGATG